TCGTTTGGTTGTTCCTCACTAACACCCCTGCCGGCCTGGTCACCCCACGCAGCCTGCTTGTTCAGTCGTTTGGTCATCCCTCTCTAACTCCCCTGCTGGCCTGGTTGTAGGCAGCCATCTTGAGGGTGTGATGGTCAATTTGCATATTACCTCTTTATTATATAGGATGCCTTAAAGATTATATTAAAGTTGAGAGAAATTGAAGATAGGGGACCAGTTAAACTATTGCTTTAAGCTATAGTTTTTAGTAGTTATTGCTATAGTACTGAAAAGCAAGTACTATTGATTTGTTTTTATTAAGGAGTCCAAATATATCCTTTCTTTATTAGTAAGTTCCACAATTGATCCTTCTGAAAAATTAGATTTTCCTAGAAGATGATGACATTTTAGATTGTAGACATGTCTATTTTCAGGTTTTATTTCCTGTCTTTCATTTCTGTTATCTTCTCATTAATCAATTTTTTTCTTCCAAAAATAATTGATTTTCTTATTAGTTTGGAACTTTGACAACCAGAATTTATTCTCTTTGCTAAGTCAATTCTTCTTTTTTTCTGTGCTCTTTAATTGCATTTTGGTAAACCTTTTATCTCCTATTCTGACAATGAGGGAGTGAGCTGGAAGAGTTTACAAATAGTTGTTTTGACTTGAAAGAAGATCCAAAATGTTGGGTATATTTTCTTCTGGGGAGAGATATTCTTCATTTTTTCATATTTTGGTAATTGGTGTGTTTCTTTTTAATTCCCATCAAAAACAGTCTGTGGAGTAGTCTCATGTTCATACCTTTCACTCCTGCCTTCACTGTACTTTATACAGTAGTTTCCTTTTATAAAAGAAAAGGATAATGCACACACAATTAATTTCATGTGTGTGTGTGTGTGTGTCTCATTAAAACAGTGCCTGGTGTGCACATGTTAGTTGTGATGATAATCATGATCATGATCATGCTGATTTTGTACTTTAGCTATACTTTCAATTTTTATAGATATTTTACCACAGTTTTATAGTCATTTGGACTCCTAGAGTTTGTTTTTATAATAAAGCATTTGTAAACATAAGTTGTATAATTTGTAGCCCCTTTATTACTAATTCTGTATTTTAGCTATACTTTCAATTTTTATAGATATTTTACAACAGTTTTATAGTCATTTGGATTCCTAGAGTTTTTTTATAATAAAGCATTTTAAATATAAGTTGTATAATTTGTAGCCCCTTTATTACTAATTCTATCCTACCTTGGATATATGGATGAGTGCCAGATTTCAACATTCTATATTAAAATGTTTTAGGCTTCACTGTATTGGATATATTCTCTTAAAAATTTGTGGCTTGATATTTCATTGTTATTGTGTCCTCCTTTCATTTAGCATGAATATTTTCTTGCCTGTTTTTCTTTATTTTTTCTATGGGATTCAATGGAAGCTTTCTCTCTCAAATTTACCTAAAAAAAAGTCATATTTGGTTTTGTAGAAGCATTCTTTTGTTGGCAGTGCAAAATATCATTTATTGATGTAAACCCAAATAGGAAGTTTAGAAGGAATATAATTATAACAATTAAGGGAAGAAATCATGACAATTCGAACTAGACAGTGACAGTGAGTATATAAGCAAAAGAAACTGTAGGAGAAGTTGTTATAGTGTTAAATAAAACTGAAGCGATACAGAACTTATTATAGTGTTAAACAAAACTTGTAGTGTTAAACATAACTGGATTGGATCTGTGGATGATGAAGAGGCTATGGTTTGCATGATTTTTTGGGTGAGTGATATTTGCAACCAATTTGAAAATATACAGAACGGTGATGACGTCAGTAATGCAGAAAAGAAAAGGAAGTGAGTTCTGTTTAAGTCATGCAGACTCTGAGATTTTTGTACGATATCTAAATAGAGGTTTCTGGTAAGTCTTTTTTTGGCCTTTGAAGGGAGTCTGTCTGGGAAGATATGCATTTTGTCAAAATACTTCTAGTGGTGAAAGCAATAGTTGCAGATAAAATTACTCAGAGAGTTATAAAAAGACCAAATAATATCTAGATAGAGGTTTCTGGTAAGTCTTTTTTCGGCCTTTGATGGGAAATCTGTCTTGGAAGATATGCATTTTGTCAAAATACTTCTAATGGTGAAAGCAATAGTTACAGATAAAATTACTCAGAGAGTTATAAAAAGACCAAATGCATAGCAAATAGAATAATACACATATTGACAAGCCTATTAACTAAGACAAGTTTTGTGCCAATGAGAGGGAACCAAACTTCCCAACAGTCAGTTATTTGTATTCCCCAAAATGTATTATTACATTTCTTACATTTCTGCTCAACAATCAGTTCTTAGTTTTCTCAAAAATTCTAGAAGTAATATGGAGCAAGATATAAAGGGCCTGGCCTCTGGCATCAGATTGAGGCAGATATCTTGAGTCTACATCAAGCCAGCTCTATGACCTAGGATATTCTTTTAGGTTTGTTTGTTTGTTTGTTTGTTTCTTTGTTTTAGTCTATTTCCTCATGAGATAAAATGGGGATGAAAATTTTCATCTCATAGTGTTGCCATGAGGCTTAAGTGAATCTCCTAGTACTTATAAACCATTCAGCAGATTTTGGCATATAGTAGATACTTAAAACTTCTTTCTCTTATATTTTCCTTATTTCTACCTCCTGGTCTTTATTCATGTCCTCTGCATGGAATGCTGTACTACACCTCTTTCTGCTGTTGTAAGTCCCATATATTACTTAAGGCCAGGTTTAATTGCCACACCCTTTCTCCAAGGATTATTCACTTCTTGTGACATTAATTCCCCCATCCCCTATTAGCTTCTTCAGTTCTTATTATTCTCTTTGTTGTTGTTCTTTTCATTTTTTGCTTCTCTGATGCCATTTGTGTAACTTTCCATAAAGGTTCTATTAATCTTTATACTCCACATACTTCTTAGCCAATGCCTATGTGTTTACATAATAAGGACTGAATATGTATTTGTTGAATTAGTAGTTGAATGACTCCACTAAATAAATAAAACAAATCTGAATCCTCAAATTAGATTGTGAACACATACTTTTTAATATTATACAAAGTGGATAAAAGGTTAATATCACAGATGGGCCTACTCTTGAAGTTTTACATGCATATTTAAGGGAAAATGTATTGCCTCTTCCTCACAATTTGGGCCAGGGCACTGTGTATTATGTGGGATATAGAAACATGGATGGTAGTCTTAGCTAGGAATTGATCTTTACTTGTCCCAAGCTAAATTGTGGGCACCTTTTACTCTGATCAGGGAGTCTATTTAAGGCAAAAAGTTTCAAATTCTGCAATAAAATGAGGCCTCAAATAGCCTAGGAGGTTAAATAGTGTTTCCCCAGACTACCGTTGCTTTGATGGCCCTAATGCTTATTCTTCTAGATAATGATTTGGAGCAAATGAAGCTACTTACAACAATATTTGTAAAATTAAAGATGTTTTATATAGAATACCAACCATTCTAATTCATTGCTAAGTGCAAAGAGATTCCATCAAACCAGTGTGTGCACAAGCTATATCTCTCCCTTCCTTCAGCAAACTAATTAGTATAATTCCCATCTCAATGAAATGAAAAAAAAAAGGTTTCTGAATATTTCTTATTTCTTAAAGAGAAATGGCTTCTATATAGTTCAATGAAGAGAAATCATTGATTGGTAACTATAGCAGGCAGTAGCCAGATCACCATGTGTTAAGTCTATGCTCATGTAGGACCTCAGATTAACACCCAATGTCTTGCTTTGTTACCTTGCAGAAATGCTGGAATCCAACAATGTGATCACTTTCAACGGCTTGGCCAACAGCTCCAGTTACCATACCTTCCTTTTGGATGAGGAACGGAGCAGGCTGTATGTTGGAGCAAAAGATCACATATTTTCATTCAACCTGGTTAATATCAAGGATTTTCAAAAGGTATCTTTATTCTAATATATGCACTGTGGTACTTTTAAAACATCTCAAGGATTCTCTAGCTATATAACAGTGTGACAACTGAAAATTTGTTTGAATTAATACTTTATCTTTTCAGATGCAAACAAAAATAATACATTGATTTAACCATCACAAATCAATGGCTGCAGTAAACCATAAAAATCTTCAAGAAAGAAACTATAGTTGTTGTTTTTTAAATGATATAGTTATATCATTTGCCTGCATAAAATAAATACCTGAACCATTATAGAAATATGTTATAATTTAATTCATGTATATATGTATGTATGTATATACTATGTGTATATAAATATAAATGTCTACATTTCTATATTGCCAGCAAATACATAGTTCATCAATCACTGTACACATGCTTAATTTCATGTGTCAACTGTGCTTGTAAATAAAATTTATTGGAAAACAGACACTCATTCATTTACATATTGTCTATGTCTGTTTTTATTCTACAGTGGCAGACTTGAGTAATTGTGATAGAGATCATCTGGCTAACAAAGCCTAAAATATTTATTATCTGGCCTTTTAAATAAAATGTTTGCTAAATCCTCATCTGGAAGATCAATTTTCGGTGTCAGACTTTTGCATATGGGGTCACTTAGGCACTATCTATTTATCAGTTTTATCCTAATCCTTTCTAGTGTTTCCAGCTTATTTAATTAATAGGTTATACAGTTTTGAAAATAAACATTGACTGAAAATTTTGTGGAAATTGTGCTACTGCGTCTAAATGCTATATTCTATGTCAAACATTTTCCCTCACTCAGTATTTCTGGTCTTAATTCTTTGACCTTTATGTTTATACATCTTATCTCTAACATCATCTTATAATTTCCTCAAGAATTATGACACTATATTATTCCCTATAGACTTTATGACAATAGTATATGCTTAGGAAATAAGTTGTTGAAGAACATTAAAAATAGGGTCAAAAGAGCTTAAGAGACAAATATATTCAAACAGATGTAAATCCTTAAGTAAATTGTATTTACTTTTATAGGCAGTGTGATATAATTAAAGTTAAATAATATGTTTGAAGTGGGATGTTTTAAAATTAGAATTATGTTTTCTATTACTAGAATAATGATTTTAAACTCAAGAACAGGAGATATAACATTATGACACTGTGCAAGTCACCTAACTTTAATTCATTATTTCATTATAGCAGGGGTTGGCAACTGTAGGTTTACAGTTGTTCATATGAAAAATAATACAATAATTAATAAATAATAATATAAGAATGAACTGTGTTTAGTGTAATCACAACTGTAAACCTACCTTTACCCACCCCTATTTATTACAAGTCTCATTGTTAGAAGAGACACCAAGATATATCCTGGGCATATGGCTCTACTATTTTTCTCATCTATAAAATAATAGGCTATCTTCTAAGATAATTCAGTTCTTTTCAATTTTAAAACTAACTGAACATATAAACCAAGTTAAGACTATTCAGAAAAAAAGTAAATACATTAAATATATATTCTGAAGTGATATGTACTCATATTGTCTAGATATATATTCACTCACATATTTATATTTATATATGAATTTTATAAAATGATAAAACATTATAAACACCCAATATTTGAACTGATATAATCTCCTATTATTAAAATATCAAAAATTAAATTGTTGTGCCCCAATACAGATAGGTGTCATTGGATTTGCTAAGGGAAACTAAAAGATTATATTAGAATTTAGATGAGGGTAAATGCTTTAATATGATTGAGGGGAAAGGTATCTACAGTCCTCTAAGCCACCAGGAACACCTTGGTTATCAACCACTGTCACAGTATTCATGAAATATAGGAACTTTGGAAAGGATGAAGACCAAATATTAGGCATGAAAACACAAACAATTATTTCTTAGTCTGTTTTGCTTACAGTAAAAAGAGTGACTATTTTTAGAGCTATCTAGCTTCATTTCCCCCTTTATCTCCTGAAAGTAAAATAAAGCTACTCTTAGCTATTAAAAAATATACCTTTCGAAGATGGGTTTTTCTAATCCTATCAGCTGTTTGTTCTAGCATGTCATGCTGAGATTTGGATTAGGGAAATGGATCCAGAGCAATCAATCTCTTCACTAGATTCTCACCTCCTCTCAAGATGATCTCTCTTTCCCCAGCCTGCCTTAGAGTTCTTTCCACTACACATGGATTAGCTCTACAGGCATACCTGGGAGATATGGCAGATTTGGTTCGAGGCCTCTGCAATAAAAGAGGTGTCCCAATAAAATGGGCCAAAATCTTTTTGATGGTGGAGGGTCTTGTCTTTAATTTGTAAAAACACACAACATATGTGAAGCGTGATAAAGCAAAGCACAAGAAAACAAGGCATGCCTGTATTGATTGACTACATGGATGTCTGTGTTGCTCAGCTCTCATATACAGCAAAGCCACCTGGGTACACGAATCATGAGTGATTTAAGCTAATACCAATGAACTGAAGCCACTGCATAGTCTAAACTGAAAGGTTCCTGCCACATAATGCTTTATGGAACTCTCTTTATCTCAGTTGCCCCAACTTGGTCTGACAGACTATAATGCTGGATCTAGTATTAATAGAACTTAATTGGCATAAAATAACGTTTCTTCTCTGCCCTTAGATTGTGTGGCCAGTATCTTACACCAGAAGGGATGAGTGCAAGTGGGCTGGAAAAGATATTCTGGTGAGTATCAATCTATTAAATAATTTTAGTCATTGCATATAGTCATTTATCACTCGATAATCATTCTTGCTGTGTTATCTTAACACCATCCTTTATTTGTGGATTTAAATACTCTTTAGAAACAAAATATTAGTTAATTTTGTATATTTGTATTATTATGTAAAGTATTGACAGTGTTATATAAAGTAAGTAAAATACCAACAAGCCTAAATAAAGCAAAACTATGTTCCCTTTGATTACTTATACATATGCAAAAGATAAAATGCAGTTTTGTAGCACATATATTAAGACAATTCTTTGTACAGATTGGCTTTAATATGTTAATTTTTCTTGAATTCCTTTTGAATTATATGAAATATTTTTGCCTCTGAGTCATCATAATTAAACTACCCCTCTTGTCTTCTTTTTATTCCTTTCTTTTTCCCTTCCTTCTTTTTTTCTTTTTTACTTTCCCCATTGTCCTTCCTTCTTCTTTTTCTTCCTTCCTTTAAACATCCCTTCCCTCTTTCCTTGCTTCCTTTTTTTTCTTATATGTTGATATTCCCAATTATTCATTGTACTTGAGCAAGTACCTTAATTTTTTTTTCTATTCAAATGTTTTGGAGCATTTTGAATATTATCCTAGAAGCAAAGATCAAAATTTCTGTGCCTCTGATAAAGATTTTGGAGTCTGTGGCATATATGCATTTTAATTTGCCTATTAACACACAGATAATAAACAATAGAGATTTGAAAAATATACCTTATCTACTCTGGTGTTATCATGATATCTAGCTCACAGAATTCCTTTAGAACTCAAACAATCACAAGTAAAATTATGACATTGACTATAATGCACAATACAAATATTAACTATTATTGTTGTTATTATTTATATATGTTGCTTAGACAGTATCTAAGTGAAATTAGTTTGGTCCTGCCCCTCCCCCCACAACTCTGCTATCAATACTGTATAATAAGAGATTCTAGTGTGAGCCCAGATGCAGTTAATTCAGCAGCTGCAATATAGTCATGATCCTCAAAGTACTGTATGGGAAGCCCTGATCATGACCTCAGAGGTTTCCTCTCTAAGAAGGGCAAGTTTATTATATTTTCCAGGCTTACTGAAAATGCTTATAGGTTTTATAAAACTAAATTAAAAGGAACTAAGACATCATTTTATAGTACCTTGTAATCAAGATTCTAAAAACTTATAAATCATGTTTCATATGTTATGGTAAAGATAGGTAGTTATGTGTCTATTGAGAGATGTGAACTTTTAAAAGTTCAATGGTATGGCAATATTAGCCAAACCAATCTTTGCAAAATCAACTAATTAATGTAATGTGATAGAATCTTTGTCTTTGTTATTCCTTTATGTTATGCATTAAATCAATTTAAATGTTGTGGATTTTAAGTTATCTTTTATAACACGTATCTAATAAAAGGAAAACCTAATAGTTCTTAGATATTTTAGTTTAAGAAAAAAATGCATTTTCCTCTTGTTCTAAACACCAAACACAAAAATATATTTACACAGTAAAATGTACTTTATACTATTTTTCTAGTAACCCATTTCTTTACTATTACTTTTTACTGACCTATTATTCAAAATATATTTTATGCATTTATAATTTATTTTATTAAAGTTTATTTTACTTTTTAAATAACCTCATTTATGCACTTCAATTTATATATCTATTTCATTTAAATCAGATATATGGCATTGATTGATTATTTTTGCATTATTTAGATACAGACCAATTTTTTTTTTCATTTCTTTCTAATGTAATTGTAGAATAGCAATTAGTTGACTCCCTGGGATTTGTAACATTTCTCCCTTGATAAACATTTCTAAATAAATAGCATACTTATTTTTACCAATAATTTCTGAAATTATCACTTGGGAATAAAGATGAAAGGTAAAGAGTTTTTTTTTTATAATTTTCATTCAACACCTGATTTTTGAAGTGATACATGGACAGTTCGATGGAAATTCTGCACTCTTGAGGAAATAATCGTCAGCTGTGACTTACGGGCAGTGATTCCTTTCAAAGAGCTCTTGTGATGCTGAAAACCACAAGAATGAGGCTTGAGTGGTTTTCGCAGCCATGGGGACTCCAAGATAGAATTGTAACCAAAATAGGAACTGAGCTGAGCATTTATAGAAAAGTAAACTAATGACCTCCCTGAGTGCTCCCTTTGGTTTCTGGAACCTGAGTTTACCCTTTCTCTTTGGGCTTCAGTGTTCTCTCAGAAAGCCCTCCGGAAAGAAGGCTCCTTTAAACAAACAGTCCTGGGGGAAGTGCTCTCTTCTCAGTATTAGATTCAGATGCAGGGATTCAATAGGAAAAAACAGCAAAAAAAAAAAAGCGGGGCAAAGACACTGGCTAATGTTATGTACCTTGAGCGTGGGTGAAGATGGTGCCACTGAGTGTAACTTCATACAGAAAACTGAACCCTTTCTCCATTCTCCCAGGCATCTGGGAAGATACAAACCATCATTTCTCATGGCTCAGTTTTGCATCAAACACATATGTGAAGTCAGCAACTGGAATTTGAGCAGCTATTCCACAAAGATGGACTTTGTGGTAAAGAGGGAATCTGCAGCCTAAGACACAGTTACTTATATTCCTGCTCGGTGTCTCTCGAGAGAGCATGCATACATGTGTCTGAGGCTGCTGATGACATTTCTGACAACAACATTAATCTAAATTTATTTTTTTCCTCTTGTAGAAGTGAATATAGAGGATATATACCAATATGCCTTCTTTTCTTGGTGTTGTAGTTTCTAAACCTTTGTTGTGGTTTTTCTATATTACAGGAGTGAACTGCTCATGAACTTTTCCATTGTTGTTACTTGAGAGTTGTAATTGGAAAAAAAAGTTATATAATATATTATATTATTGAACAGAGACCCTGAAAAAGGAAATAAATGCAATCCGCATATGTCCATTCTGACTGCTATTATCCACTTTACTTTCATTTTTTATATAGCCCTGATGCTTAAAATCCACTTTGTTATTCACAATAACATTTCTATTGGGGGATTAACTTCCTTGACCCTGTTTTGCAAGTGAAAACTGAATACATGCTAAACTGGTAAAAGAATCTGTTTCGAATCACTCGCTCTCTGACTCTTCTTTGTTTATCCTATTAAATCATCTCTCTTTGCACTGTTGCCATAAAACCAAATGGCAACCGTATGACTGTTAGAAATATTTTGAATATCATTGGAAATCAAAATCTCAACCATCTGAGATGAACAAAAAAAATCAGATTCTCATAACATTCCTATTGTTGGATACATTTCAAAGAGTAATATTTCATGCACCTGAATTCTGGGACATTTTTGAAATTCTTGAGGGATTTATTTTTATAATTTTGTCCTTAGTTGTTATTATTCACTTTTGATGCTATCATAGATGATAACGTTTTGTCAAATTATTCTGGCTCAAATTGCAGGACCTTAGCAACATTAATTTCTGCCACATGAATGCAATTGAGAGGTTGATGCTACCCAAGCATCTTAAGTTGCAGTGCAGCCCAAAATGCATGTTAGTCCTTGAATTTCATTTACTTTTTCAAAGGTCAAAATTGACAACAAGTTTAATATTTTTATTTTATTTTAGAAACTTCAAGGAATTATAGAAATTTGTTAAATGGATAGTTAGAATAACCTCCTCATTCTACAAAAGTCAATCATAACATTTCATTACATCTCTAAATCCTATGTATAATTATTGGGAGAAAAATTTTCATGGGTCTCTCACACTTCTGCACACCTGATGAGAAAAAAGTACTAACTGCCTATTTTGTAGACTATATTTAGGGATATTTGTAGTGAAGAGACTTGAAAGGCACTGCCTCTCTGTGAAGCAAAAGGCTGGTTTGCAAAGAGCCTTGAGAAGTAGAGATAGGGTCTCCATTGGCACAAAAAACAGGTTTGCTTACTGTCCAGTAAAATGAACATAATGCCTCCCTCAAGTTCCAATACGCTTTGACTATTATGAAATATTCAGATTCCCTCCACCTAGGGTTTTTCCCCTGTAATACAATAAATGCCAGTGTCACCTGGCTCTTTTCTCACTGCCCAGAGGGGATTGGAGCTTGAGGAACTGGCATAAGAAATGCTGATACTCTGAGTACTGCTATTTCTGCAATAAAGTCTTTTATCTCTGACCCAGGAGACATATATCTTCTGCCAGCATCCATGAAACTGTGCCAGGGTAACTTATTTTACAAGTAAGAAAAAAATCACAGACCCTTCACAGTTCTTGACAGTATGGATTACAACTGTTTTTTGTGGACAAGATATCTCACAAATGAAAGACTATAGTCAGTTTATTCATTTTTAATATACATTTTATTGTTTTTTTTTAAAGAGAGGAAGGGAGAGAGGTAGATAGTTAGAAACATCGGTGAGAGAGAAACATCGATCAGCTGCCTCCTGCACACTTCTTACTGGGGATGTGCCCCCAACCAAGGTACATGCCCTTGACTGGGATCGAACCTGGGACCTTAGCATCCACAGCTGATGCTTTATCCACTGAGCCAAACCGGTTAGGGCAGTCTATTCATTTTTAAACATGATTCCCATGATGAAATTTGATGACACTTCAGGTAGAGATAACTTATTTTTTATGAAGGCCAGTGAATACCTTATTTATTAAATATCAGAGAAATAAGCACAGATTTTCATGTGTACCAAGATGTGAGTGTATTGCTGCTTGGAGTTAAATTTCAGGTAAATTAAATAGGATTATAGTTTTAATTTGACATTCAAAAGTGGTAGTAGTAATAATAGCTAACACTCATTGAAAACTTATTAAATATACTTGGTGTTGTTCTTAATGAATTGCTTTTATTAGCGTATGTATGTAACTCATATTTGGATATGAAATACATATTTCAAAGCAATTGGATGAACTAGTTTTATATCTTAGGTAAGAGACATATATGGGAAATGAAGCTTTACCATTAAAATTACCTTAGAAACTAGGTTTTATTCTTATTTTTAA